TATTTTTAATTTTTAATATCGTGCTTAAATTTCCGCTAGGTTTTTAATGCTTTCAAACCACCAGTCATTTTACTGTGAGTTTCTTTTCTCCCTATATTACACGTTATATTTTGTTTTTATTTAGATTCGAAGATCTAAAGCGACGTTTCGGTCCATCAGATTTGTTCGCCGAAGACAGCAGTCAGTCAGAATTCCTAGATACAAAAGCACTTCATTCATTCCAACTTCTCTTGTGTAATCGTTGTCTCACTTACGATTGCCTTATTCACGGTTCGTTTTTGTAATTCATTGGTACAGCAAAAAAAAAATTCAGCGAGCAGACTGTAGATTTGTATACTCTACCAAGTTAATGACATCCTTACTATTTTCTTTAATGTTTAAAATATCAATTTTTGTAAAATTCGTGCTTTTATTCTCATAATTTTTGAAAAAAAAACCCTATTGATTTCGATCTGTTCTTCGTTTTACGAAATATTAAAACGTTTTATGATTTCGATTGTATTATCAGAAAGACTATGCCTCAGGCGTTAATGCAACGGAGACAGAAGTCCGGCGACGTCGTGGAGTAACAAGCGTTGAACCTTGTGGACTTCAATGTTTTAGGCATTTGACGAAAGAAATGGTAAGGTTTACTTGTTCGAAACATACAAATAATGGATGACTTTTGAACTTTTTATTTGCAACCTGTGTAGAACTTCCATATTAACTGAGTAATTCGATTTAAGCTGACAAATAGATTCTGTCTAAAGATGGCTGGACGAAGACTTTTATAGCGTAATTATTTTCATCTGTGCATTTCGGCGAATCAGTTAAATTTTCTTTATTTTAATGGCTTAATACTTACTAAAGGAAATGAAATGAATAAAACTCGCCGGATTTTCTAAGTAGAATGTCTTAATTTTTATACTTAAGTTTTTGATTTTTTAATCAAATTTTTTATTTGCGGTAGAATTTTTGAAAAATTTTTTCTGATTTTTTTTAAATCAGATTTTTGATTTTAAAAATATCTATATTTGTGGCAGATTTATGACAGAATTTTTTTTTTATTTATGCTTGTAGGAGGAAGCGAAACGCCGTTGTGCGTCCCCGCCGGATACGAAAACGATAAATGCCATATTAAACATAAAGACAGAAGACATCAATTGGACAGCACAGCAAGAATCAATGTTCATTGCTTTACGGCGAACTTACAAGAATGATTTCTGCAAATTAGCTGAAGTTCTAAATTTAGTTGTAGGAAATGCACCACCGAAATCTTGCCGAGAGGTACTTTTAGTCTTGAATATGCGAAATATAACTTATTGCAAAAAAAAACTACCAGGTTCTTTCAGCAAAGATTATTTCATATTACAGTTGTATGCATATTCTTTTCGCACGGCACCAATATCACCGAGAGCCGACGTCTCACCAAATTCACCACCGAAAAAGAAAAAGTACTTTTTTTTAAACTGCTTGCACAGTTTTTCTTTGATCACTTTGCTTTTTATGGTTTTTATCAAGCATTTTAATTTTCTGGCAAGTAGTGTTTTTTCTCCCCAGTGCTTTTCAATATTATATATCAGTTGAAGATTGCTTCAGTGTTGCTTCACTAGCCGAAGTCGTATGAGTATCGTTGAATATAAAATTAAGTATGGATTATGCAGAAAATGTGAATATATGGGCGCATAGTATATTAACAGTATAGAGAATAATTGGACAGAAAGCATTATGACAGTGATTAGTTTAATAGTTCTAATAAACAGCAAGTTCCATCGAAATATTGGTTGAATGATTTTGATTGAATTTTTTATATCAGCGCTAATCTCAAATTTCTAGTAAAATTGCTGATATCTTAAATGATTATCTTTAAAATATTGAAATTGTCTTGTGAGCGTATATTACTTTTTCTCATGCCCAATCAAACCCCACTTATCATATCACAGTTCTACATTTTTTATTCATATTCTTATATTACTTCAATCATTCTAGTTTCCAGTCAGTTTTACATCAAAAGTCAAAATGTTTCGTGTATAGAAATTTGATTTCGCTGTAAGGATGAGACTCTTGTCTACTACTGTTAGCTCTTAGCTATCATAAACACCAAAACATGTATTCAAATGTTACAAAAAAACTGCGAATTTTTTAATGTATATTTATAACAAAATCATCTTTAGGAATATGAAAGATCAACACCGCACATTTCGCGCTGTTAAATGGGCGAAAACGGAAGGCAAAGTTGGGAATACCCATGTTTATGAGCCTTGTTCTCACAGTGGGCCTTGTTCAGTGGAAAACAATTGTTCATGTGTTAGCGTCGATAATCTATGTACAAAGTTAGTATACAATTTGCAAATATTCTTACTGCTAGTATAATTCAGTTATCAAAGCGATTCTTACTCTTCTTACTTCATTATCGAGAACTGCGGTGATTTTAGATTTTGTCGCTGTGGTGAACAGTGTAAATATAGATTTCCTGGCTGTCGCTGTGCACCAGGTTTATGTCGAACAAAGCAGTGCCAGTGTTTCTATGCTAATTGGGAATGTGATCCGGATGTTTGTAAATCATGCAAGTGTGGTAAGTCAGAAACATCGGTGTTGTTGTATTATTTTTAATGTTATACAAAATCTTACCACAAGTTTGTCTCCAGTTCCTTGAATTCATACTGAAGTCATCTTGAATTTCACTTGATCTTTTGCAGATGTTTTGGATGATCCTAATGTTGCGACGTGCAAAAATGTAGCTATGCAACGTGGCTTACAAAAGAAATTAGTTATTGCTCCTTCACAAGTGCGTAATGTGACATAACTTTTCTCTGTTGTATTTTTACAAGATAATCATTTATAAGTGTGATAAGTGTGATACATTTATAAGATTTTTCTGCTGCGTTATAGAAAAAAATTTATGCATAAAAAGATGCTTTATTTCAGGTTGCTGGTTGGGGTTGTTTTGCAGAAGAAGATATTGAAAAAAACGATTTTATATCAGAATATTGTGGCGAAGTTATAAGTCATGATGAGAGCGAAAGGAGAGGCAAAATATATGATAAGTTAAAATGCAGTTATCTTTTTGGTATGTTTTGGTAATACATGTAATGATTAATCAAAATGTAGTTATTTTTTGCATTATTTAGAAAGCGGGATGATTTTTTTCAACCTGGGTTTGCTTAGCGAAATTTTGTTAGAATTTTATTGTGTTTAAAAGAACAGGTAAAACGTGAAATTCTGGTCATATTATTGAATTTTGTTAGGTTTAAATGATGAAATGGTAGTAGACGCCACCAGAAAGGGCAACGTTATTCGGTTTGCAAATCACTCAAAGGATCCAAATTGCATGGCAAAAGTAATGTTTTTTTTATTTGAGAGTTGTCTTTTAAGCGGATTGTTACAAGAAGATGAAAAGTGTTCTTAGTTCACAAATTTTGAACAAATTATTTGGGAAATCATAAATTATGCCCTTAATTTCCAGGTATTCATGGTTAATGGAGACCACCGTATAGGTATTTTTGCACGTAGGCCAATTATAGCTGGCGAGGAGCTCTTTTTTGATTATTCCTACAACTCTTATCAACAGGTTAACCTTGAAACTCAAATACAAAATGAAAAAGTTTATAAATTTTTGTTTTTTCATATCACAAAAGTTGGTAATTTTTTTGTACCAATCATAATTTTTTATGGCTGTGCTCATAAAATCGCTAGCTTTTAAAGTTATTTGTTTTTAAATAAACCAATCCATTTTGAAATGGTAATTCTGCATCCCAAAAAATAGAATCGTCACCTTTTTTTGAAATATACGTCAAGCATTTTCATTGGCCCAATTTACACGTTTTCTGCAAGAAACTTCATATGATATTTTATATAATATCTTATGATGATTTTATGTCAAAGAAAATTAGAATAGCTAATTGCGTTAAATGAAAAAGATGGGATGGAGATTTTGATAGATAATGCAGATTTATTTGCAGGTGAAATTTGTTTCGAAAGAACGTCCGAAGCCGTGAAAGTACAACTCCTATAGTTTTTTACACATCATAAGTGATATTTTGTTTTTAAAAGCATCTCTGCTGCTTATTATTTCATAAATATTTGATGGTTAAAATTTATGATAATTAAGATAAAATTTTTGTTAGCATATGCATGACTGTTAGTTGATAATCAGTTGTGAAATAACTAGGAATAGTTGCACAGTGAATTTATGAATAGTCTTATGATTGTGGCGAAATGATTATGTCGTGACGATTCGCATCATCAATAATGATCTATTGATGTTTCTCTTCCCCCCAGTCGCTATTCATATTGTTCCTAGGTGTCATCTTCAATTTTCCAGTTATTTTCAAGCATAATGCACAAGAATTAATTGGAGCATGTGCTGAAAAGTTACGAAGTTGTTCAATTACTCATGAACGCGTCCAACAGTGTACACTATCATAAGTAGCTGCGAATTCGATAATTTGAAAATTATTTGCATAATTTGATAGTATCAAAGAATTGGAGAAATCACTTCTAATGATTGGAGTCCAAGTAAAATGAATGTATTAAATTATATCTTACATGAATCTAACTGCAATAATATCACAGAAATAATGGCTTTACAACAGTGACAAAATTTCCGAAGAAATTTGTTTCCATTATTCCACTAATGGATTACTGAACGACTGTTCCGCAAATGTTTTAGTATTCAACAATGAAAGTAAGTCCTGGAATCAACGTCTACGTTTTATTGCTTTAGATTTCGTCAAAAATTTCATCAATAATTTGTTTAAGACATATGTAAAGTTTTAGGAATTTGCTTAAAAAATCGTTTTAAATTTTCCGACATCATGCTAGATGCTATTCTCAAAGTTTAATGAAGCAGTAAGTGGCGTGAGGACTTCTTCCGGATATTGAAAAAAAATCTTTTACACTTCAGAGAAAAACTAGTTAAAGAATTGTCATGAATTTGTGGACATTCATATAATTTGCCAATTCAATATCAGTATCGATTAGATGTGTAAGCTAACCAGGAAATAAGCAAAAAGTTGAATTCGATCTTTTTTTTGGAAATTTGGATGGGAAAAAGTTATATACATAATGCAGACAGCTTATTTCAATTCACTTACTCGATGTTTACTGGAAAAAGGATGTATACATCATAAATATTGTCCTCACTTAATTCGTGAAATATTTGAACTGGTTGAGGTGGTGCGAGTTTTAAAAGCTATTAAAATTACGAAAGTCTTTTGAATTATTAAATTTCCTCAACATTTATAAACGCTTCATATCAGTTGAAATTTTTTTTTTATTGAATTCATCAATCCAATTTTTGAGTTAATGAACTCATTTGAAATTTCAAAAAAGAAAATGGACATTTATTTCTATTTGCAAGCTTTAGTTTTAGCAAGTATTGAAAAATGAACCAGCATTACTGAAACTTACAACTCCAATGAATATTTGCGGTGATATTAATGGGCATTATCATGATTTGCTGAGAATATTTCGGGTAGATTTTGGGGAAACTTTATAAAATGTCTGGCATATTTTTTCCTTCATCAAATATATATTTTATGTAATTAATGAATTGAACAGCTTCACTACAAATTTTATTAAATTTATCGATATTTTCTCTTTTTTTGTGTGGAATCCATTTCAATTAACTATTTTACCTTAATATTTTCACATTGTTAATCAATTTGAATGTCAACGTAGAAAATCTCATTTTTGGTTTAATTTTCAAAAATATAAATGTTGTTGAAATAGACGATTGGAACACCAGCAAAACACCGGTATCTCTTCCTTGGTAATTATACCGATCATATTGGAAGTCATTATTCTTTTGTTGCTTTTTAAAATTCAATGTCCTCATCAAATATTTTTATTGCGTGGCTGTCATGAGAAGGCATCAGCTATTCGGTATTTCATTTATCATCCATTTGTTGTGCTTAAAAATTGACAAAATTTAATAACTATTTATAAATAAAAGAGATAAAGGCAGTTTCAATAAATTTTTTGACAATAAAGCATATTAGGAAATGATGCTAATATTTGGGAATATTAATGAAGGTAGGTATAACAAACAGTAAATAGTATCGTTTCATAAAGTGAGGGAAAATTTTTCATGATATACGCTATCCAATGCCGGAAGAATGGAAATCTATATATGATGGCTTTGTTCGAGTTTTTAGGTATTTCTTTTCATCTCTTCTAGTTTTTATTTAATTTTTTCCTTTTTTCTTTCTTTCTGTACTAGAAGAATTACATATATAATTTCTGTTAAAATAGTTTTCAGACAATTCTTCTCCCCTATTACATTCATTTCATTTAATCATTTTACAGTCTTTGCCAATAGCGGCAGTATTGGCCAACAAAATATTTTGTGTGCATGGTGGCTTAATCAATAAAATTGAACGTCTTGATCACATTAAAAAGTTGGAAATAATTGTCGATTTTTCTTACTTTTTATATTAATTCCTCGTCAATAATCCGATATGATCATTTAAGAAATTATTAATTAACTTTTGTTATCATTAAAAGATTGGAACCGGATGAAAAACCAGTGTTGATGAAATTAATGCCAACAACAGGAGAATCGAATCGCAATCTGAGTGAATCTATTGATGACGATATTGATAATAAACTTAGCGAATTTGGTGTTGATTGCATAATACGGGGGCACCAGGTAATTGAAATTTTGATTTAAATAAGAGCTTCATTTAAAAGTTTAATTTTTCACTTTTCTAATTAAACTACACAGAAGAGCACAACATTCAATTATTGTTAAATTATATTAAATAAGAATAAAGATAATGATAATAATAGTTATAGCTAGTAAATGACAAATTAATCAAGAGAAAGGTTAAATACATGCTTTGAATATACCTTTGGTTATATTACTTTACATACTTATGAGCATAACGCTACATACAGTTGATTAGCGGTGTTAGGAATGATACAAAAAAGGGCAAGTGATTTTTGTACTGTTAATGATATATCCTGAGCTAACTTAGAAAACATCAAGAATTCATCCGTAGGACCATCCCAGATATCACTGAGTTATTTGAAAGTAGAGTAGAATACTGTGCAAATAACTGCAGTCACGTAGTTAATTTAAATAAAGTTAAGGTAGTAAATGGCTATTTGTTATGTCGTGGTGGTCGTGTGATAATACTTTATTCTGCATCATCTTTACATCAATCTTTCAACAATTTGGCAGCCATTGCAAAGGTTTCTTATTGCCATTCTGCTAACATACAACACCCTGTGAAAGTTACTCAAAATTTATATTATACTTTGCTAATAATTCTTGAACGTCTCGAACCTGTGGCATTGTAAAATTCTATTTTGCCTGTGCATGTAATACTGCGACAATCGTAATGTAGCGTAAGAGATCCATCCCTTGAGCGTTGTTTTTTTACTTAATTTTGAAAAGTTCTTGTCATTTACAAATAGCAATTCGATTTTCAGATATCTGAATCACTTGAGGTATCATTTATCAAATTCCATCTATGTAGCCTCAGCAACCGTGACTGCCAAGTTCATACACAAATTACTCCATGAAAATCGATTAAACGAATTAGAAATCCTGAACCTTTACTAACAGACCAAAATACTCGATATTCTTACGCAGCGCATAACATCTGGAAATGAAACCACCGAACTAAAATCAGTGAAATCTTTAAATCCATACATTTACAGTGCATTTCCAACGCTTTATCTTATAGCTCACGTCTCTCAGTCAATCCACCAGCCAGTCATTCACACCCACACATGCATAAAACGCATTTTCAAAATGATGTGGTGTTCACGTAAAATTAAAATTAAATTTATAGACATAAATTTACGAACACAACAATAATAAAAACAAATAATGAAAAGTCACTTGAGAATCAATGTATTATTTACAAACGGACAGGAAAACATTATGATCTTACCCGAAAGACAAATATATTTTCAGTTCCATTCAACAAAACGAACAACAAATACGACTGAATTTGAGAAAAGGCAAATTTCTAAATTTTGAGTACCTCGAAAATTAAAACTAAATTGCTCCTTCATGTTAAAATTATGCTTGAAAAGTCATTTCACCTTATCCCAACAAAAAATTACTTCCTCTTAAGTTCGACCCAAAAAGAAAAGAGGCTTAAAGCAGTAGAACTCGGTAGAATATCACGTAATACCTAACTTATGAATGATGAATTGATATTCAAAATAAAAAATAACAATATAGCAACATACAGAAACAAATATTGGAAATAAAAGTTGATTATATGATCTCATTTGAACCGACACAATTTTAAAACTTTTAGAAGCATATCTGTTCTTGTTTTTGCTTCAATTTCTACAACTGAAAACAAAGATGAGGTTTTTTATTCAATAGATATCACATAAGATAATCCCCGTAGTTATTATGTACACCATTCATCCCTAACGTCGCGCTTTAACGGGCGAAGGGCTTTCACTACTTTTCCTTCTTTTGCCTAAAGCTAAGTAAACATCTTTTTCACGCTCACGCTGATTGCTTACTCGATCCTAAAAAATAAATTATTTAAAGAATTTCATTCAAAAAACAAAAGAAATCTTAAAAAAGAAAACGCAGGTGTACAATGTTTCTCAAGTATTAGTAACGTGCTGCACTAATCACTAACCAATAAAGTTTTCAATAATAAGATGATGTCTGGTTAGCGTTTTGGAATCCTTTGTTTCGTAAGTATATAAAAAGTCGAAAATCGCATCAAAGCAAGCTTTTAAAAATTGCAGCACTTATTTAGTAGTGTTTTCAAAAATAAATATTTTCTACAAGTCATACCAAAGATAAAGTCAACCAACCTTCTCAGCAACCTTTCGTCGACCATCTCGACTTCTGGTCCGATGACGCCGGTCTTTTTCTGCCCTCCGTTCTTCCCTTGCTCGTCGCCTTTCATCTCTCTGATGTCTTGAATGATGATGATTACGCTTTGATGGCCGTTCACGTTCCGCTGATTCAGCCCGATGGTGATAATAAACGGGTGAGGTGCGGAATCTGAAAATTAAAAGTGGTAGTCTAGAATCTCTTTTATATGTTAAATTTTTTAATATGAATAATTTTCTCAATAAAAATAACTCACTTCTTGGGTTCAATTGGTGATCTTGAGCGTGAACGTGAGGTGGAAGATGATGTCTGTTTAGCATTATAATGGTCATTTTCCTTTTCCCTGTCACGCTGAACCTCTTTTTCCTTCCCGCTTCCTTAAAACTATCGCAAATTAGGAATACAAAAAATTGTAATTAGACTAAACACATTAAAGGATCAAAGGAAACATAGAAGGTAGCCTCAAAAGATTTGAATATTTGCAGCAGAGTATTTTCAAAACATGTAAACCATACTAAAAAGAAAGTATCGCACCAACCTTCTCTCGCCTTACTTCTAGCACCATTCTGCCGCTCCATTTCAGCAGCTTTACTAGCAATTTCGCGACGTCTTTTCTCCAAAATAGCTTTTGCACGCTCGACTTCTTTATTTGCCATGTTTTCTGCTTGCTGAACCTTTGCAAATGCATTACTGAGACCAATTCGTAATTTGTTCAATGTATCATTCAACCGTGTCCAGTTTGGCGCCTGAAAATATGATACTTTAGTAAATCTCAATATTTCAAAAAAAATAACGGGAGATCAGTTGTAATGATCAGGAATAACATTTCAAAAAAATTTTTAGAAACTGTGCAAATAGAGTCATTACTTACCCGTATTCGCCCATAAACGTGCAGAAGCAAATGTGAGATCGTCTGTACATCCCTGTCACTTGCATCAAATGCTTCAAACCAAGGAAATGGTTCACGCGGAAGCGGTAACGGTTCCTGAAAATGTCAAAATTCCAAACTAGAATTAAAAAAGTATCACAATGAATGCAAAGAGTTTCGATATACTTACTGCTATAGTTCTTGCTGCAAGGTGAATACAAGCACATGCAATTGTTTCTGGCCGATATCTGAGAAATATATCTGTACGTAATCCATCATTCATGTAGCTCCTAAAATTAACAAGTTGACGCAGATAGCACAAAAACGAATCGGTATATATTCGGATGTGAGAGGAAACTTATGGCAGGGAAAGTAGAAACAAATTTTTAAAAAACTGTCATTTTTAACTGCATCAAAACTGTTTAGTGCAACACATTTTCTACGATCGTAAATCTATAACTTCCCCTTAAAAAATTTTTTTTAGAAGTACTTCATAGAAACATAAATCAAATTGTATTTTGAATGCCATACAAATAATTATAACATTTACCATGCTTTTTGCATCAGCTCATGGTTGCCAGTAGCGCCCAATGCATGAATATATGCATATATAAGTTTATGTGGATGATTGACGTGTACTACAAAACCAAGCGCATTCAGCAGTTTTCGCTCCGCTTTTATCACCTGATTCTTCAAATCTACATAGCTTCGATCCAAAAGCATTGGAACATATCTACAAATAAGCAGTAATCCAAATCTTAGCTCCATGCCTAATGCATTCCTATGAACGGCAATTATATGTTGAATAACCTCACTGCTGTGTGTCCTTATGAATGTTCGATTTGAGCGTCTGTAAGCATCGTCAGTAATGCCTACACCACCCCAAATAAGTAAAAAATTTAAAGACATCACACATCCTTTCGGTAAAATTCTGAAAACTGAACAATATGAGCAAGCAACTGACCTTCTTCCTCTCAAATAATCTTCAGTAAACCATTGCTTCTTATATAATTACAGCACATTAGTACGTATTTGCAGTTTTGGAAAGTTGACGGAATCTTATCTGCCTTTTATACATTGTCAAGAGTTGGCAGAATTTGAAATACATTCAAACACGATATAACCAAACTAGAAATGATTTTAAAAGGCAAAAGTAACTTGGAAAATAAACTCAAAAAAGAAGACAACGACAACACAAAATATCTAGAAAGAGATTCGCAACTAAATATCTTCGTCACACGATATGATGAGAGTTATACAAACTATATATCAACCCAGTATTTACAACTTATTAGTGACAGTGCTAAATATCATCATTAATCGTATAAAGTCATGTGTATCCAGCTTTTGATCATGTCACGAAGTGCAAAAATAACAATAACTGATAGATATTTTTAAAATGCCTATGTTGGTGACTTTACAAGAGTAGATAAGTTTAATTTGAGTGTGGCATGAAATCGAATTTTGCGGAAACAAAATAACAAGAGTATTAAAAATAAAAAATATAGAAAAATGGCTGTGTACAAAAGACAATTTCGTTATGACAAAGAAAAATATTTGATAGGATTTGTCAGAATATGAAAATCATATCTACTCCAAACAGAATTTGTATTAATTCTCAAAAACAAATGACAGGAAGGATGAAAGAACATTTACGTAATAATATCATCTGTAAATATATTTTTCTTACTCTTCTAAAAAGTAAAAATCGAACTGTCTTGAACGTTGGAAAAGCTTCCGAATATGTAAAAAAGTCCTTTTCATAACATAACGATTTTCTTTAACCAAGCGGAAAAAATTTTCATAATTTCAAAACAACATTCTGTCATACCGCTAATCATTAAGGTCTAGTAATTAATGTGTCTAATACTAACAACTTTAAAAATCAGAAGGATGTTGAGAGTCAGTGAACTAGAATATGCTGAATGGTACTTTCATCCTTACCTTCATTGTTTACTAAGCAATGAGCAGTCATAAATGCGGCGTAATAAAATCCACACAAAAATGAACGGCCAAACCATATATCTTTAAAGCACTAAAACAAGAATGAATATTTCAATTAAATAAAAAAATACGTTCACAAGCAAGGCTGCATGCTCTTTGAAATAAAACTGAGAAATTTTAAAAATAATGCGAAGTTATAACCAAAAGATTGATCAAATCATCCCACATAGTAATCTGGTTAATGAATCTGAATGCATTGGACTCCGACAACTACTGATGACTCAAGGATGAATTACTATTAACCTAGTGAGAGAATTGGCTTTCATTCGCAATTGTCATTTAATTAATTTCCGTGCATCTCCTTCCCAAACGCAATCAAGCAACTGGTATTAAATTAACTCACCTGTGTGTATAGAGAAAAGTTCAACCGTTCCAGCCCAACAGTGTTGCGATAAATCAACCAATATGCAAAAGAACTTTGTCACCAAATGAGCATTATCAGAATCTATAGGAAATCGAAGCCTTTCCCAATTTAATGTTTGATTAGAAGCAACGCAAATGTAAATGAACCAAATAAAAGAGATATAATAATAACAAAAAGCACTGCCAGTACTTTTCCGCCAACTCTTGACATCCGATAGCAGAATACAGAAAAGCAAACCTTTCTTTTCGAAGGAAGAAATAAACATTGCTGTGATTTTCGACAAACGGATAACCATTACCAGGATTTACTGATCAGAATATATAAACAATAATCTACAGAGGAATTATATAAACTTTCGCAAAATTTCCCAGAGAGTTGAAATGAAAATAAAGTGAAATAAATGAGGTTTCTGGGAAAAGTAAAAACATACCTTATACTTTCCGGGTAATGCACAAATTCATGCTGTTAACCTATCACCAAGCAGGAAAGCGGAAGGAAGCAAAGTTAGAAAATAGTTTCCCATTTATAAGACATTGGCACTAAACGATTTTATTACCAAGTCAGACCATGACCTATGCAATTCGGGGCTTACAGCGTGCTAATTTATGGTAGATCATGTTCAAAGATTTTTAAATTACAGAGAAAAATTGAAATATTTCGCAACTGCAAATAAAAATAAGCAGTAGCTGTTACCATGGTTTACTGAAAATGATTTGATTAGGAATGCAGCAGTTGCTTGCAGCATTGTCCATTCCGTGTGCCATCAATGTGCAGTGAACTACACTGCACGCGTATAACAACAGTGTCGAAAGAGTGTGCATATATGCCGACTCCATATTGATAGGTAGTCTTTGATAACACACACAGAGAATCAGTAAAAGACGAAATCCAACTTGAAGAGAGCTCCAAATGTGCTTCATTCATCTCTGTAGAATGGATGGAAGTGGTGACCGTACAAGAGAGTGGGGGCACACGCATTTTTTACTGCCATACGTGTATCCGCTCTGCCAGCTCTGTGTCACCTGGAGTGATTAACAATATGATCAAATGTATTTTATAATTTTAAAGTAACCCACCGCTATTTCTGGTTTTTCATTAAAAAATTCAAAAATATATCTAAGAATGACTCGTCGACACATTCTTCCCTCTTTTTCTCTTTAGGATAAAAAGGGAGATGACATAAAACACAGTGAACCACTAACACCCGTTACTTCTAATTTCTTAACTTATTTATTGCACCGAAAAAGTGAAATGCAAACAAAACCAGGAAATGACTTCCCAATATAGCATTAAGATGAAGAATAAGCTACTCCCCTTAACAGATAATTGATATCAGTAATCTCCGCTGTTTCGAGCGGAATAAGTACTTTTTTGGAAAAATTCACCTCCCAATAAACAATCATTACATCATATTTAAAGTTATAAACTCATACACTTTTATTAAAATGGGCTCAAAAAGATGACAAGAAATCTTAGTTGCACAGCTTATCTGTGCTACGTCTCAACAAGTCTCAACATTAGAACACAAATATCTAAAGATATAAGTTTCAGAACGACGAAAAAACCGCCGCCTGAAATAAGCGTCAAAACGAAATTTCGCATAAGCATCCAAAGAACATCCAAATCGATAAAATTAGTTTGTACTTATCTTTTTTTTTACAAAACAATAAGAAAACAAACGAAGGTCATATGAAACAATGACTTGAATACACAAACATGACGATGCCTACAGAACAGCAAAAATACGAACTTGTTGCCGACTAATCGAAAAGCCGACACATTTCAGAAATAATGCTGAGGGAACTTTAAATAACCTCAAAAGTACCATCCTTTGTGTCAATAATGTCCATTGCATGTCCTATCGTTCCCACTCTTAGACGCGTAAATCCTGTATGACCATGTGTATTTTATAAGCAATATATTAGAATTAAACTTACTTTTTGGATTCATTTCGTTTGCCATGTAAATGTTCCAAACGATGGAACACATTGATGACATCACGTGGACGACGTGGAGCCTCCTCAATCTTGCTCGCTAATAAAAGGCATGCCATTACCGTATACTAAACTTTTTATCATTACTATAACTGAAATAGCGTAGATCGCAAAGAACTTGATAAAAAAACTCATAGCAGGATGTTGCTCTGTCTTACATCTGAAAGCAAAACGAAAATGTGTTTCATGAAAGTGTTCAACTCACCCTCTTCAAAACAATATTGTCCTAACACTTTACACAATATTACTACATGCATAATCGTGTTAAAAATTAAATGCTTTGGTGATAGATTTATATATCAGTTGGTAGCAATACAATGGCTCGAGATTAAATGCCTTAAACAACTGAAACTGAACCAATGCAATCCTATGAACTAGTTGAAGTTAACACCCAAAGGCAAAAAACTGTTAGTTGCATTGACTAGTGATATTGCTGGTAAAGAAAATTAAAGGTGCGCATATCTTAAATTAACCAAAGTTGTATTAAGTCATAATAAATGAGAATTCCACCTTGAAAACAAAAATCTATTACCGAAGAGTGATGCCAAACTTCAAACCGATATGAATACACTTTCGTTTGTCATTTGAATAATTTAAAAAATAATGAAGGAAACTTAAAACATACTTCGAAATGATGTCGAACAAATGATCTTTGATAATAAAATCGTTGGTAAAGAATTTGTGCTGTTGCTGCTGCAACCTGAGGTATACGAAGCAGTATTGCACCTGACTGAATAATTTCACAACCAAGATATCGCAAATCCTGAAGAAAGCAACACTTTCAATCCGTGATAATAGACTGAATCAATTAACTGTAAATTATACAATAGCCACAGCTATTAGTAGCAATTTACGTACCAGTTCGGTTTTCCGATCTAATCCATCAGCTAATGAAGGAGGATTCCCCAATTTAGCTATTGAATGCTCATCTAATGTGAGAAGCCATTTATCTGCTGATATATTAATCGATGAGAACAGTCTGAAACAAAAATAAATCATTTGACGCATCGAGAAATCCCAAGTTTTATGATATAAAATTATTCACAGGAATAAATATTTGTATCATTGACAGGCTAAAGAAGCTGTCCTCTGCAATCTTTCGTGATTGTTATATTTCTTGTCACATGGTATTTTCTTTATTTTGTGTTACTCGAATGTCACTAATAACTATTGCTCTCCAACATTCCTCGCCATTACATGTTCTCCATTTTTTTATATATAACAACAAATGTAGCTAATGAGTAATCAAAAGATCCCTTTTTTCCCATCGCTTCTTTCTTTCACTTCATGACACGACACTGCGTACTAATTTATCCCATGTATATCTGCATGATCCTGTGACTTATCATACATCTCTATATGATTTCTGTTAGATATACCATATATCTATATATCTAAATGACTGTCCTGTTACTACCCACTGGTACACACAGTTACGTTAGACACTATGCTCTCAGATCAACTGG